TCATGTGCGGACATCATTCAGAGGCGCTTCTTTGCGTCGCCTTGGATGAAATGGGATTCTTCTAATCGTTTCTTGAACTCTCTTCTCAGAAATAATATTTTTATTTTAATAAATTTGTTACAAGCAGTTTGTTGGGAACAATAAAGATATAACATTATACAAAAATGCAGTCGTAAAAGATTATTTTTCATAGCTTATCAAAAGATGTATATTGATTCAGTACGGCAAACAAATATGTACGTAATTTTCAATTATATATAACCACCGTGAATAAGGAAAATAAAAACACGAACGAAATATTATCGTCGAACAATGAAATCATTTGTAACAATATCCCAGACAATTAACATCAATGTGCTGAATAATTCAAGAGCATCCCAGCCGCAACCATTGCTCAACGCATTGCTCAACGCATTGCTCAACACATCGCGCAACATATCACGCAACACATCACGCAACATATCCATCAACAACATCGACAGACACACTCAAAAATGATAATTGTCACCGAAACGCACAACAGTATAGAAAAAATTTTTTAATTACATCTTTAATTGTTCAACATAATACCGATGTGCACATCATTTTGCAAAAACTCTATCAATATCCAGAACATACAAACCAAATTACAATATTCAAATATAAACCTAATTAACATAAAATTATTTTGATGGTTAATTTTTAAATTTTCTGTTTTATCTATGCTTTAATGTTTACGTTTTTTGAATGAAAAAACTGAAAATAGGCCTGCCACGCAACATGTACACACCTCGCATCGTCACCTCTTTTTGGATGATGTATCCCATTACAATAGTTATTATCTTAGGACATCATTACATTACAATAATTATTCCATCATATCATCATTTTGTATTGTTTTTTATCCCCTCCAAACATATCTCATAACATCAACTATTCCATCCCATAAGATTTAGCATCCTATAACATCATCATACCAAATTACATTAACTAGTTATTCATACCTCTAAATTACATCACATAATCATCCAATCACATCCCACACGGCATGACCTTCTATTATAAATAATGACCACCCGTCATTTCATTTAATAGCACTTAATTCCACTTCTCCTGTCAATAACTCAAACTCATTATTCTCTGAAATTAATATTTATATTGTCAAGAAGTAATCGGCGATGCTGGCCGCAATTGATTCCATAAATGTTGTACCTTCAAATGCATGAGCGAACATGACATGACAACATCTTCCAGGCAAGAACATTGCACTCCGAGCTCACTCCAGTCAATGAAATGCACTCCAAAGCAACTCTCCTAACATACGTCGATAATTGCAATTTTTACAGCCCGCCTGCGCGCTATCGCGTTATATATTGCATATTGTCAACCGTTTGTCCCATCATGTCGTATTATTATTTCGTTACATTGGATGTTATTGAAAAAATATTTTCTGATCAATTTTGCCCAACTTGAATTTGATGATTTTAAATTTGGTGAAAATTTTCACATTCGTTGTTCTTAGTTTTTTTTTCTCACCATGTTTAACATTTTTTCATTGTTTTACTTTATATTGGTTTGTTTTCAAATGATAGATATCAAAGGGATATAATTACATAAGATTGGAGTTCCAATTCCTTACATCTAATTATATCACGCGATCACCTGGACACGATACACGACAGCAATTATTAGCGAGGACCGCAGTGCATGCATATCATCAGCGTATAACACATTGAGACGCACGAATCACTGAAACTTGAAATGCTTCTTCAACAATAACAAACACATGAAACCAACCTCATAAAAGATAAGTACATCATCATCAAATATGAATACAACGTTATCAGATGCGAAAGCAATATACCCAAATGTGAGTAGATATGATCAGGTGTGAGTGAAACGCCATAAAAATGAAACGTCATTATCAACAAGTACATTGTCATCTGATAAAAGTACACATCAAGATGCTGCGGTCTGATGCTGCGGTCAATTGACTAATTCAATTTCTACCCGCAAGCAGCAACGAACTAACTACTTCTTCATCAACTGACAGTGAGTTGGATCCTTCTTTCCAAGCTTTCAGCAGTTTTCAGTGCATAGAAATATGAATAGCTACAAACGGAGGAAGCAGATGTTTATGAGAGTTGGAAACAAATCAATCTGTAAAATAGATTTTTAAAACATGTAGAAAATAAAGCTTATTACTATTGAAAAGAATAGTATATAAATAACGTCAATAAAAGCATAGGAATACAACAAAAAGTACAACAATACAAAAGAATACAATAGTATAATACAAAAATTTCGAAGAAGAAAAACACAAAAAACAATGCAAAAATACCGCAATACAATGCAAAAATACAAAAGTAGAATACAAAAATAGAAGAATGTAGCAGTAAAATACAACAATACAATACACAAATACAAAGAAACAATACAAAACCCCAACAAAACAATACAAAATCTCAACAGTGCAATAAAACAGTACATGACGATAATAAAATGTAGTGTTATTATAGAGTGATGGTTTTGTCGTGATCCATCATTGATCACGTGACATAAACAAGTTGCTGTTGTTGTTGTTGTTAAAGTTGATGTTGGTGTTTTGTTGTTGTTTTTTTGTTGTTGTTTCTTTGATAAAATTGATAGGATCATTAGTTAAGATGCTTGTAAATGACGAGTTGCCGATGAGAATAATGAGTTGTTGATCGGTGGATAGATAGATAGATAGATAGATAGATAGATAGATAGATAGATAGATAGATAGATAGATAGATAGATAGATAGATAGATAGATAGATAGATAGATAGATAGATAGATAGATAGATAGATAGATAGATAGATAGATAGATAGATAGATAGATAGATAGATAGATAGATAGATAGATAGATAGATAGATAGATAGATAGATAGATAGATAGATAGATAGATAGATAGATAGATAGATAGATAGATAGATAGATAGATAGATAGATAGATAGATAGATAGATAGATAGATAGATAGATAGATAGATAGATAGATAGATAGATAGATAGATAGATAGATAGATAGATAGATAGATAGATAGATAGATAGATAGATAGATAGATAGATAGATAGATAGATAGATAGATAGATAGATAGATAGATAGATAGATAGATGGATGGATTGATGGATGGATGGATTGATGAATGAATGGATAGTTTGATGGATAGTTTGATGGATAGATAAATGGATAATTAATTTAAAATTTGATAGCCTAACATTTTGTAATCAGATGTTACTTTAATAAAAATTATTTACAAATAAAATGGTCAAAATTTGACTTAAGAAATAATATTTCCGTATGAACAGTGTTATTTCATAAGGCTAATACTCCCAAATGAAAATTTTCGGAATAAGTCATATGTTATATACTAAGATGCATGAATAAATAAATAGATAAACAAGCAAATAAATAAACATTCAACACGAACACAAGTTGATTCACTTAAAAACATTTTAACCTCAAACATTTGCTAATCTTGAAAAAGTCCTTAAATTTTTCTCCGAGATTCTTCAGTTTGATTGACATGGGTTTTGTCTCAGGAGTATGAGAATTTCTAGCTTTCAAAAAATGCTTGTATATGAAGAATATGGACAAATAACCGTAGAATGTTTCGCATTTTGTAGTTTCAAATAATCTTTCCAAGAATTAAGTAATGTCACATGATGAGGCTTTTTCACTGTAAATTATATAAAGTTGTTGTTTTTAAATTTGTAGGAATCTGGTATTAACGACGTGATAAAAAGAGATTGTTTAATTAGCAAACTTGGCTTGGAGGAATGTTTAATTAGCAGCTTGTACTCAAGTTCATTCCATCTTCATTGCCATTCATATGCTGGAAATTGGCTACTTTCTTCAAAAAATCGCTCAATTATGTATGGTCTGATATATGTCGTTATTGCCGAGCAAATGATTGTTAGAATGCATGAACATATAAATATTTTAAAACGCGTAAATAAAACACGAAACAACAAATTACAAATAATTAAACAACAATTTAATGTATAATAAAATGATAAATGTAGAAATGCAGAGGCTTTTAATGGTGCTTTCCTCTTGAGATATTGTGCAAGAATTTGTTTCATTTACGCCGCCATTAATCTTACTTTTTTTCATTTTGTGCCATCATTTGCTCTTTGAAATTTCAAACTCATTTCCCAACTTCCAGCTGTTTTCCTTCTCTTTTTCCTAACTCTATTTAACTCCTAATCTTCTTTATTTTCTTTCAAATCAACAATTACATCTGAAAATAATATACCAATTTCGATTTCCGCATTTGAAAGAGTTATAAATCAACGACATTTTAAAAAAAACATTGCACGAACTGTTTTTACCGAAGCATATTTGCAACGCATGGATATCGTTATTTCTATGTTACTTCAATGTTACTTCGATGTTACTTCGATGTTACTTTGATGTTACTTCGATGTAAAACCGTGTTGAAGGTTCATTTAAAGCAAACGAACTTTTTGCGAAATTTTCCTTCAATATTTCAACGATTTATTTGAGGACGCTGGGACAAATCTTTTGAAGGTGTTTTCCAAAAAAAATTTTGATATGAAAAACGGATCACACGTTTATTCACCAAAAACAGATAAAGCTAATTTGCATAAACTTTTCTAGCGCCTTTTTCTCTTTCTATTTTATCTCTCGGACTCTTTCTTTCTCTCTCTCATTCTCTCCTGCTCTTTCTCTATCTTTCTCTCTCTCTCATTCTATCTCTCTCTTCCTACAGTTTTGCTCAATGGATTAATCTATCTCAAAAGAAGATAGCTTGTTAGTTCTTCAACAAATGGATACTTCTGATCTGATATTTTTTTCATTTAACTATTACATATTTAATAATACGAACAATTTGTTTAATTTCTTTCAATTTCATTTATGTGGCTGCTCACAAATATATAGATACAACATAACAAAACCAGCGCTCGTTTCAAAGGTACATGCGGATATAGCAAGTATAACGCTTGAATGATATGAGGACCATCTATCTAAATGTATGTGGCTGATAAATGTCTGTAATCCTTGCCTCTATTAGTATGGGAGGGATACGAAGAGTTTGAGATTAATGATGCGCTGATGGCTTCATGATCGTTTCTGATGTTCTCTGCTCTCCACATGTGGTTGTGTTGGTGATGTTTGTTGCCATCTTTGTTGAGGCTGTTGTTGTTGGTTGCTTGCTTGCTTGCTAGTTGTCAGCGTTGAGCGTTAACGTTTGTTATAGTTTTTGGCTGCTTTGTTTTGTTGATTTTGAATTATTTGGAGTTTTATTAACAGGTGATGCCATTTTTTTATATGTTGTGATATTTTTTGGTTATATTTGTCAACTGTTGCAACTAAAAAATGTTTTTGACAATTTTTACACGTAAAAACCAGAAATAAAAATAAGAAAAAATTAGCTTTTCAAACGTTTGCCTCATAACTCAAAACACCATTTTTAACGAATTCTGAAACAAAAATTAAATTTCACACCTTTCAGTTCTACTTTGTTTAAAAAAAATTAAAAATTTTTTATCATTTTTTTGAAATTATCAATTTTAGTTTTTGCTTTGGTCTTTTTTCTTTGTGCTCATTTCTAAAGGGGAGCAATGTAAATCTCCATTCACAACCCAAAAAACAAACAAACGTTTTTTGACGCTACTTTTGGTGACAACATTTGTGGAGATTGTGTGAACCAAACATACGGAAGTGCGCAATGTAGACTCCCGTGGTCAATAAAAACATCCAACCCAAGCATAATTTACTTACATTTAAATATATGCATATTTATGTGAATATAATATATATTCTAACTAACTTACATTTAATTTTTAAAATAGTAACAATATTTAAAATATAAAATTATAGGCTTCATACATTCATATTCAGATGCATAATAGGTATGTAATTACAATCTTACAGTAGATTCATGCTGACACGTACAATTGGGTCAAAAGCATCATTCCTTCCCCAAATTGTTTCTCAGCAGCAGCAGTAACTTTCTGTTAACGCATGCCTGGTTCCACCAAACAACATTTTTGTCTCGTCGACCATGAAAATGTTTTGCTACTGATTTCTTCAAAGTTGACAACTAGTGCTGAATTTTCAAATATTCGCAGTAAGATTTCCTTAAATAATTTTTTTAATGATATCTCCTGTTAACCGTCATTTCTCCATCAATAAAATGCAAAATTATAAAAAAGCTTTTTTACTTATTGCAGATAAAGTGAATGTTTTTATGGAAACCTTTCGATGCGATACCAGAAGACTAGACCTATTTCTTATTGTTTATGTGTTACAATTAGTACATCAGTGAGAAGCGTCCAATAATAGTTACCTTTAAAGAAGAAAAATGATCGTAAAAATGAAAATTAAAAAGTTTAAACTGAAATAGCAGTCTGCAAATTCTAATCATTCCTCCAAAAAATTTCCAGCCTATTGACTAGTTGGTTATCAAATTTGTTCAAGATAAAAAAAACTTTCATCTAACCTTTCATGAGACGATTCAAAATTTTTCTGAAAGGTCGTAAATAATTTAAAACTGCATGCATGCCCTTGTCGAGTGCCTTCTAGTGAGGAAAAGTTATCGAAAAAACCGACAGTAATCATCTTTCATGTATGCTTGAAAGTGCGGGGCACAATTGCGAAAATGAAAAAGCTCATAAAAATTGTACTATAAATAATAAAGTTTTTGTTAACGCATTAAATTATTTCAATATTATAAAAATAAAACAGTCTCTTAATTAGATGGTTACATTAAATGCGTTTGAAGGAGGTTCAGCTTAGCGCGTGCTTTTGCAAAATAACAGATTATAAAGTACTAAGGTAAAACTGAAAGTGTGTAGTTTAGATTTATATGGTAGTTTTAAGTTTCTTTCAACCACGTTTCAATAAATTGCTTGTTAGACTTTGATAATTTTTTACCGTTAAAATAAGTTGTTTAAAAATATTATTCATCAACCGTGTTAAAAATCAGGCAAGCAGTTGACGCGAGAAAGCATCGTTAGCACGTAGGAACGTTAGAAAGCTATTTGAAGGTCAAGTCTGACGTGGTGGAACGACTTCCCTTATTTGCATATCGAAGGATGAGCAGTTGTCGTGGGTAGTTGCTGATTGTATGATCAATTGTGTTGTTGTAAGCTAATCTGTGTTGTTCTATGTTCTTCTACGTTGTTGTATGTATGTATATTTAAATATTTATGTTTATTTTATGTTCATATTTTTGTTTGCGTGGTTGTTTAATGTTGTTTTAACGTTCAACCTTTTACGTTATGCGTATTAATGTATGTGTGTGCGTGTATGTGTGTGTGTTTGTGTGTGTGCGAGCGCGCGCGCGTGTGTGTATGTATGTGTGTGTGTGTGTGTGTGTGTGTGTGTGTGTGTGTGTGTGTGTGTGTGTGTGTGTGTGTGTGTGTGTGTGTGGTGTCTACGTCATTACTTCTTTATTACTTTCATTTAATTCCGTATAATAATTTTTTACTTTAAACTACAAACTCAATTTCCTTTGCCAAACGCAAACCAATTTTCTTGGCATATTTAATGAATTTTTTTAAAAATGATCATTCTACATCGCAATGCATATTATTAAATTACATTTAATTAAATTTCAAACCCGTTCTAACATGAAAAGGTTCCGAACATTGAAACAAAATTAAAAAGAATTGAGCGTATTTTTTATATCAAGTTTCAATTTTAATCAAAAATTATTACCAATGAAATTATGATGATTGCATTCTTTTTCGCTGATACAAACTTTTCCAATTCAAATCTTTCATGTCCACATGCTATCACATACGCTTATATTTAAAATTTTGTATAATAAATTCTTAATTCGTTTCTATTTGTGTTTCTCATAACGCGTTCATGCATTAATGTTGCGTATTTATCTTATATGTAAAGACTTATTTACACGCATGCATGGGTACGTAAGATATGTCTCTGTCTCTTCTTCCTGTCTACTTTCTTTCGTTTACAAATAAATTATTAGAATTTTAAGTTCTCAAGCCTTCAACGTGAGATGAAGCCTTCATGTGCGAACGAAACTTCAAGAGTTTGCAAATCAGGTAAGATATCAATGGTAGAATAAAGTTTTTAGACTTATTAAAGCATATTGACGATAATTAGAAATGCAAACATAAAATTTCAAATAATTTTTCACCAAACAACATAGCAATCAAAAACTGTTAATTAAGGTCTGGTGAAGTATATTGAAACTTTAAAAATCTATTTAACAAATAAATAATGAAACTTTTTCAGAAATTTAGAATGAATTAGTAACAAAGATGAAGTTTATTTTTTAATAATTCACTAAAATTTTTGTAGCGATTAATTAAAAATTTATTAAATTTATTATTCGACATAATTTTTCTATTGTTAGGATCTTTTATTTCCTTTACCATTCATTCATTAGGCTGCTTTCAAAACGATATTTGCTCGTTTAATTATACATCATTTTACTTGTTCTAGATATTGTCCATCCGTCCATATATTAATTTAATCAACTTTTTATTCATCAACCCTTTAATCTTCCTGCCGTTTAATCCGATTATTTTTTGTCTACTGCGCTGTTTTTAAATTTTTCATTAATATTTTCCTTTCCTCATTCGTTTATTTATTTAGTTCCATTCATTTATTCATCTATTCTTTTACTTGGGCATGTATTTGTTTGTTAAAAACACCGGTCAGTATATCAGTTTTCTGTGTTAAGATGAACATCGAAAAAGTAGATTGAGAGTTGATGAAAGAGAACACGTCTCATACAACCATGTTTGTTGTTTGTTGGTTAGTTTGCTTGTTTGTTGTTTGTTTGTTTGCTTGCTTGCGTGCTTATGTTTGTATGATTTTATTTGTGGATGGGAGCTTTTATTTGCTTCTGTATGTGTATGGCTTTTTGTTTTATTTTCAAACGTACATACAATAAAATGGTTGTGTGTTTGTATGTGTCTGCCTGTTTGTGTATCTGTGAAATTATAAGCAAGTTATTGCTTAAAATATTTATGCTCTGCTGTTTATGGCCAATCGATGTTAGATCTTTCTACAAGACAAAAATATTAAATGCTCGTTATTTGCATCCTTCATATGTATCATGCTTTCTAATTATGCAACTTCCAACTAAACTAAATAGACAGCAACAAATTGTAGACATTCACATGTGATATGTACACATCTTAATCTGTTTGCGTCGTAGTATGTACGCACATCGTACATGACATACATATAAGATGTACACGCATGGAATGTGTACACATAACGTGCACATCATCGCACGCATACATCGTAACTTCTTCCTTGATTGTGTGTTGTTTGAATTGGCATTTGTTTCCTTGCTACTCGGTCTGCATTTATATCTAAACAACAATATTTTTTGTATTTCAAACTTTCATTTAAAATTTGTCAGTTGTTTCCGCAATATAAATGTAAGGTGTTGCGTCAAAAAGTTATTAAAAATTAATAAACATTATCAAGGAAAATAGACTTGCATGATGGTGGTGGTTTCGTGATAAACAATGCATCAATCAATCAATACATCAATCAACCGTTAAATTTATCAAGGCATTTATTTTTCATCCCCACATATTTCCCTCTAATCAACCACTTGCTAACTTTCATATAGGCAATCAACTCAAAAGACGCCATAAATAAATTATCACAAGTCGACTGGAACAAAAAAGACTAAAGTTCATTCATTCATTCATTCATCCATCCATCCATTCATTCATTCATCCATTTATTCATTCATTCTTTTATTCATTCATTTATTAGATTAAAAAAATAACGGCGGCAAATAAAAAAGTGAATGTTGGTTTCAAATAGCAGATGTTATTTTTTCTTTCTACTCTTAATTTCATCATAATTGAACATTGCATGATGCATGTGTTAAGTACTTGATGATGTACTAGAAGTTTCATGGGATGATTCGTAATGCATGAATGATTATAGTTGATTGTGTTGGATGTTATTGCTTGCTGTTAGTGGATGCTGGAAGAATTTGTTTTCAGTTTACTTCGAAATTTACAATTTAATGTTAACTATTAGGGCCAGTTTTCCATAACAAGCCCTACTTTATATTTGTTTGCTTGACTGGAGGTGTCACAAAGTATCGCCAGGAATTTTTGCACACGTCATCAAACATTCACAAACTTCCTGGTAAAAGTGAATTTAAAGAAAACTAAAAAAAAAAGTTGCAAGTAAAACGAATTTAACGTAAAGTCGACGCCGACAGACGTCAAACAAATGAAATGTAATTAAAATTTTTAATGAGACTTTCACAATAAACCTTCAAACGGAGTAGGTGCAACAAAATTTAAGAAAAGGTATGTTGAAACAATTCGAAACTTTCCACGTTCCTTGTGTTGCGATTTAAAAATAATCAGAAATAAGTTTAGTTAGTGGTGGTAAGAAAATTAATCATGTTCATGTCCGTTGTCCAGTTCACACAATCACGTCCACACAGTCTGTGTCGTTGGTAAAATATTTTTGTTAAAAAAAAATCGCAACAGCAGTAAAATAAATGAATGCAAGAAGAGTAAAGGAACAATTGAAGTCCATAAAAAAATGTATAACAACAACAAATATCTAACTACCAAAACAGGATGGAGATGATGGATAGTTCCTGGCCAAATGCCAAAAAGCACACATCGACTGAATGAAAATTAAAAAGATGAATGAATTTTAACAAGAGTAAAACGTGAAATAGATAAACTCAAATTAATAATTGCGCACAGTAAAGATAACCGACAACATTACGACATATCAACAGTTTAAAAATATTTCTCAGGGTGAAAATGATTTTTTATACAACCAAGAAGATTGTCAAGGTTAACTACTTTTTACTCAACTTACTTTCCTTGCATGGGCCAATTTTTTAAAGAAACTGAATTTTAATTCTGTGCAACACTTCCTACAGTTAGGAACGGAATAGTTCCATTCCGGTTCTGAACATTTGGTTCTGAAGATTAGGACCAGCCGGTCCTATTAACCGGTAATTGTATTAACCGGCTTCTACTGTGGGTACTACCGCGTACGGACCGCCAGTTTATTTGCGAGTATGGAGTGCTGGCTGGTCACTTCGATGGCGTCTGGTCAGTTTGATTTCATTTTTAATTTAACTTTTCATTGTTGGTTATAATTATGTGAAATAAAAAATAACAATTAGACATGATTAACGATCATTGTGAATGTGAATGCATTCATATGTACTCGTTTGAGTGTTAGTAGCCTTATGTGCTCTTTTGCGTGTGAAGTGCGTGTATTCTAACAAACTGAAACATGAAACAAAAAATATTTCGTATTAAACGAATGACACGAATAAACATCAATGATAATTTATCTAATAATAATTTATCTAAGGTACCACTAAATGTTTAACTAACTGTAACATTAATACATCAAAAATTTACAGTCGATACAACATTCATTATATTGGTGACAGCACGTGCTTGTGAGCGTGTCAAATAAAAGTGGTACTTTTAATTTATATATCGAAATATGCGTCAGCAACTTTCGAGCTAATAGACATTAATTATACCTACTTTTTTCTTATAAAGAAACAAAACATGTATTATTATTATTATTGTTATTATTATTATTATTGTGTTGTTGTTATTATTATTATTATACATTTTTTCTAACGGTATTTTAAATCAGCTTCTCACTCGTCCGAGTAAAATTTATAAGGTAATTAACTTTTTATCGGCACTGATGCACTTTCTTTCATCGTCTCCTCCACGCTACTGCTTCTTTTCCATCCGCTAGTCAATTACTCATAAACATCATTATTCAGTCGTAAATTTTTTTTATTTCGGTTTTTTAATATTATTATTTTTGTTGTTATTATTTTTATATTATTGTTACTACTACTACCACTAATACTACTACTACCACTACTACTACTACTACTACTACTACTACTACTACTACTACTACTAATAATAATAATAATAATAATAATAATAATAATACTACTATACTACTACTATTACTACAACTACTACTACTATTTATGATGAAAATAATTATTATTATAGAGCACCAGAGAGTTTACTTATTTTTTCGTCTTCTACTCATTGCAATGAAGTTATCATTTTATCATGTACATTACATAGTCGTCGTCATCACTTTGATTAATTTTTTATCATTATCTTTTCATAATTAGAAATTTTTTCCCGGCATAATTGTGCAGTTAAAAATTGTTAATGTTTCCTATAAAATGAATAATGCACTGCACGTTAATTAAGTTAGCTGCCATCATCAATATTTGTTTAAATTGATAATTTTTCGGTCATAAAATAATATTTTTAACTAAAAATATGACGAATTTTTAAAGTTAAAAATGTTTCTAGCAATGTTATTTGAATAGAAATGTAACATAGAATGTCGGTTTTTAACATAATTAAAAAATTATATTTTTAAATAATTTTCCTCAGATAAACATGAGCGTGCGTGCGTGCTTGCGTGCGTGCGTGCGTGCGTGCCTACCTGAACCGTTGTTCATTCAACGCAAACAATTGCCAAGCAACACGAAACGTTAGATATCATTCAGAAGATTTCATTGAAGCAGGCGCAGCTGTACTGCTTTTTTTCCGTTTCGTTTCGTTTCGTTTTGTTTTGTTATTAAAAGTATTAAATGATTTTTATTTTGCAAATTAATCTAGAACATGGAAATAAATATTTGCTTAAAGTCAACAAAAAATGTTCCATCAAAAAGTAACTAAACCATTTGATGACCGTAGTCTCACTGGCGTCGCGCTGATTAAACTTGGAAACCTATTCCAATGGTAATCTTTATTTTCCATCTAGATTGAATTTTTCTTTCATAAAAAATAATTTTTATAAATAATAAAGTTTAAAAATCTGTGAAAAAAAATGTGAAACAGGCTCAAGTCAATGCTTTCCATCGTTAATTGTTTTTGGTATTTCACAGACAATTTCGGTTAAAGTATTTGTTGTCCATCAATTTGAATGGAACCGCCACACGATATTTACTGATATATAATACCGTCCACTTACTTGAATATAAGTACAAAAACGTGTAACCAATTAATTCTATTGATCAATAAAGTTCTTCACTATATCGATTAAAGCGTAAATTTATTTAAGTATTTATTAAAAATAAATTAACGGTTTTATGTATTAAGTCTGTATATAATATTTGATAATTTTCATGATCTGTTACAAAAAATTTCAATAATTAAAACACAACAAAATACATAACAAAACCTTTGCAGTAAAAATATCGAAGCGAATGTTCCAGAAACTCATGATGACATCAGCAGATAGTCCATAAAGCATTTATTCCATTTTATACAATTCTTTTTCAATGGGGTTTTAAGCTGATAATCTAAAATGCATCAATTAATGAATTAATTTCAAAACAAACATTCAGATCACATCCATAAAAGATTAATTTTTTTGTATTTTCCAGAATATTTTAGTAGAATATGGAACATTAGATAGGAACGCTAAATACTATGGTAAATTAACAGACCAATCAAAATATAAATTGGAAGAATTTCTGAATTGTATGTTGTATAATGAATTGTGCTTTAATTTTGTATGTAAATATTTCATTTTTAACTATATACTTATGCTCAATTGTGTTTACATATTATGTGGAAAATATTTGTATGTTTTTATTTTATGTGATTCATTTTAATCACACGTAAATTGTTTCTCTAATGTTTGTGCTTTGGAATGTATGTTAAAAATCACATGAATCACAGTGTTTATTGTTATATATTGGTTATAAAATGTGAACACAATTACGTGTGAATGAGATTATTAATGTTCGTGTGTGTATGTGTATATAGGTGTATGTTTATGTGTGGTAATAAGTGGGTGGGTGTGTGTTAATGAGTTTTTTTTTATTTAATGATTAGAAATAATTTCACTAATCGAATTTCCTAAAGTAATTTTATTTTTTGTTATAAATTGATTCATTCAATTAGTTTTTGTATCACTCAGCACAAAAAATTGATTTCTCTTGCATCTATGGTGAAACAATTTTTAAAAATTTTTATTTCTCAACGACTTTATTTTTATAATTATATGATGAATGAATCGGATGAATGAAAAGTACGATTTTAAAATTTTTATTAGAAATTTAAACCTTAGAGTTAGGTACTAATCACATATGTATTTATGTTTGTTTATTCATTCGTTCGTTCGTTCGTTTGTTCGTGCATTCGTTCGTTCAATTATTTATTTATTTATTATGGAGTGTACATATGTCAAACACAAATACATGATCTAAATGTATGTGTGCTTGTGTGCTTCTTGTGTGAGTGTGTGTGTGTGTGTGTTTGTGTGTGTGTGTGTGTGAGTGTATGTGTGTGTGTGTGTGTGTGTGTGTGTGTGTGTGTGTGTGTGTGTGTGTGTGTGTGTGTGTGTGTGTGTGTGTGTGTGTGTGTGTGGGATGAAAGGAAGAAAAAAAAAAAGTGAGAAATATAAAAAACTTAAAAGAGACAAACAGAGAATTTGCATAATAAAAGCGTGGGTTTTTATGTATAGTTAAAAAAAACTTAATGGAGAAAACATTGGCGAGATTTATGGCAATATTCTTCATAAAATTTTTCTATTTCCGCATTTCTTTATATAATAAGTGATAAGATAGCATTTACAAAAGATTTCAATTTTTAAATTTTGAGAAATATTAAACATTCTAACGTAAATTACCATGTCTGGATTAAAATATTTTTAAATGAAATAAATTTTCAAATAGCAAATTATTTTACGCTTAATTTAAAGAGAAAAATTCATTTAAAAAATTTCTCTTATTTCTGGAATTTTCTGAACAAATATTACAACAATAGCAGCCAATCGTTGCGTGCATCAAATCAGAAAAAATCTTTTACGGCTATTAGTGATTTTTAATTTTTAATAAAAAACGAACAGCCCAATAACGATGCTAATTTTGAGTTAGAATAAGCAACATCCATATCATGAATACGAATAGTGTTTAGTACAGTGAAGTGTGTGTGTTATGTGTGCTTTGTATGTGTGTGTGTTTGTGTGGATTAAAATAATATTGTTGAAGGCACTGTCACATTTACCTCCTTCAAATGGTAATAACGTTTTCAGTTCGACGAATGGTGTACGACACGTACAAGTGTACAATGTACATGTACATAGTAGCGTATAGTAACGGCCACACGAACCAAATGAAGGCTGTTTGTTTTGAAGTTATAACGCTGGCCTACTACAACCCTTAATATATTCATAATGTCAATGATAACAATTTTAACAACATCAATGAAAATAATAACAGCAACAACATTAATGAAAAGAACAATTAACCATATAATAACCACATATTATGATATCATAATAGAAATATTCCATCATTCCCAACTTGACTTGACAGATTTCTTTTCAAGTTTTTATACGCCATTCACGTATTGTAAGTAAATGGAATCTAAAAAAACTCCCACCAGCCACCACCAGCCACAGCTTACTACAAGCCACCATTGGCCACCAACCACCAACCTATCGCGCATCAAAGGGTCTCGCCTAGAGGCAGTTGCATCTCGAAATCTTCATCGTCTCATCTTCACAACTTCATTCATGGGGCCATAATGCCAAATAATTTAGCAAGTAAATATTTTTTGTATTTTCTCAATTCTTTTGAATATCATCATCGTCGTCGTCATCGTCGTCATCATCATCGTCATCATAACTTTATTATCATTGGTATTATCATCGTCAGTGCAACCGTTGTTGTCTTCCTCATCATCATCACAATCATCATCATCTTCTTTATAATCATTATTATTATTATTATCGTCATCATCATTTTCACCAACTTCACTGAAGCCAACCACCAAAATCAAAATTTTTATCACCAAGTTTGAATGAAATAATTTTCAATACAACATCGATTTGTGTGGATGAGAAACCAAAAGTATAAACTCATTTGTATTTATAAATACATATATATATATATATATATATATGTGTGTTGATAATAGACCATAATTTTTACAGAATATTTATAGAATATTGTAAATATATATATATATATAAATATAAAAATATATATATATATATATATATACATATATATATATTTATTTATATATATATATATATACACCGAGTAGTCTTTAAGTTTTTAGTTCTCGAGTAAGTGTATTCAACAAATAATATTTTGATATTATAAAATATATAAGCCAATTTGTTGATTACCTTAGTTATTTAATTACTAAAATTATTTAAATTTAATATTTACGTCATTTATTTATTATTTAATTATTCATTTTTAATCAAATTTTGGCTACTCTTGATCCGTGGAACTTTGCATAGAACAATAAAAACTGACAAGAAAGTGAAAGAGCTGTTAATGGTGGTACAAGTTAAAAAAAACTTTCGCGTTAAATATTCATAACCATGGAACAAACAGTTTTACTCAGAAACACCAAAACTCAGAAATTATTTTCTAAAAGAATTGAAAGCCAAACACGTAAAAGATGGGTGGTTAAAACGATATAGGTGAAAATTGCAGAAATTCAATTACTTTGTCAACAGAAGTTCACATTTTTAGAAGTTATTCTAAAATAGTATTAAAGTTATTAAGCATTTTTGCATAATATAAGAATTTAACTTTTTCCTATGGTATATAGGTAAAAATGGAAATATCTCACAAACTATAAGAGGTAGCTAAATAATAATCACATTAAAATTTGAAAAGAACAAGCCAATAAACATTATTCTAAAGTAAACCGTTTTCATTTTACAAACAAAATGTGTGTCTTTCCCAAAATTTTCCAGTTTTTTAAAATTTCAACCTCGATGGGACATGGATTAACATCATCCAATTGAGCTAAAAATTTACAAATATCATTTTTTAGTAAAATGGCACAATTTAGGGGTTTCCTCCAGTAAGATTTTGAAAAAAAAATTTGTAATCACTCTAGTGCATATGTATGTGTCTAATTTGCGGTTCATGCAGATCATAACAGTTATGCATTGCAATTGCTCTACAAACTACGGAAACATTCATACATTCGTAGATAGATCACAAAAACAGTTGTTCGCTAGACAGTTCGTATTTTTAACCGTGTTGTGTACCATAAAAAGTTTACATTTGCATGCAAACGAACGTGATACACGCCTGTGGATGCAGCTAAAAATAAAATTTACAAACTCACAAATGCAAACAAATTTGGAAAGTATATTGTAAACAAACAAATATTTACATATTAAAAAAACAAACATTTAGGCTCACAAATATAAAAAGCACACAACGCTAACGCGCACAGACACACGCAATCAAAGACACACATACGCACACACACGCACACAAAGAAACACATGCACACTCACGTACACAAAGAAACACATACACAACACACACATACAGACATAAGCAACAAGCAATCACATTTTTTATCTTCCCCCAGCTGATTGATAACCCTAGGGGGAAACTTTTCTCTTTTGTTGTAATATTTTAGTTTTTCAACATTTTACTTTAAATGTTTTCTGCAAAATATTTCTGAATAGAGGTTTTATTCCATTTGTTTGTTTTTAAATGTTTCCCATTATTTTTAATTATTTATATAACATGTTCTGCGTTGCAGATGAGCGCTGATATGACAAAGTCCACTTTTGAGTAACGTCTATCTAGGTCAATCCATGTTCATCCCGTCAAATCCTCTGCCCAATCGACCAGCTTGGAAGCATCATTCATTCAATTTTTCATTCAATTATTCATTCATTCAATCATTAATTCATTGATTTCTTCATTTATTCAATTATCTATTCATTCAATCATTCAATCATCAATCGATCAATCAATCATTTATCTACTTGTAGAACCTGTAACATAATGAATGCTGCTGCATAATGACCCACACACGTTCACTCATCACATCATCCATTCGTTCGCTCTGTATTTAATGTTATTAAATCATCTGTTGGACTATATCGTTTGGCTTTTTATATAAAAATAATTCTCCAATTAATTTTCTTTTATTAATTTTTAAATCTAATAATCTACGTAAACAATAACATTAATTTTATCTAAAAATTCATTCATCCATCCAGCCATTCATCCAGCCATCCATCCATTCATCCAGCCATCCATCTATTCAACCAATCATTCATTCATACATCCATCCATTTATCCATCCATTCACTAATAATAATAATAATTTAATAATAATAATAGTTTAACCATATGCTTTGATCTATTGATACATACATTACATTTGTTTATTCCTTCCTTAATTTTCAAATAACTACAAGTTCGTATTCTTAATAGCATGGCAATTGTATCTAGCAGAGCAGCAGCAGAAATCTTTCAACCGAGCAATCTAATTGTTATCTTTCCTTAATTCCTGTTTCGAGATATTGAAGGAAATTTCTGAATTTAGGTTCAATGTGATGAATTTTATTACCTCCTCAGTGGTATCTACCTATTTATGGCCCACTTTTATTAAACATCCATTCAATTGTAATGCCTTTCTACAATTGAATCACATCTGCAGAGAATGTGTTGAATTTTGCTTTAAATTTCTAATTAAAATCATTTTTATTTAATTAAATCTTATCTTATGAGTATGTTGTTTTTGGTTGTTTAACGCGTTCATGTGTTGGCATATGGGCATGTTTGTATTGCATGGAGTTTAGATAACAATTGTTTGTGAATTTGTACGCGCTTTGTGAATTATGCAACGAAATATTGAAACTTCTGCATATTGGAGGGGATATCTGACTAATTATTTAATTATTCATGCGCTCGTTGCTTATGTTTTATTATATTTCTGAAAATTTTCCAATGTGATTTCAAAAAAAGTTAAAGGTGCTTGAGAGGTTTCAACAATTTCACAATTTCACCAGTGCAACTTTCAACGACAGCACACAGCTTTGAAGGATGTCTTTGCTGATCTGCTGATAGCAAACGCTCTTTGAAATTGCTTATCACAAATGACATCATTCGCCACATAACTTGCAAACATACAAACAAACATAGACACTAACACACATACAAACACACATACAAACAGGCAACAAACCATGTGTTAAAGACTGTCTTCTTTCCTCTTAACATGTTGACAAATATAATTAAAAAACAGTCGTCTTGCCGCACAAAGAAATGCCTCAAAATGCCTATTGTCCGTTAGATAGAAATTATGTTATAAACGCTACTGTTTTGTGCACTTACATATATAATATATATGTATATATATATACATATATAGTATATAATATATGTGTGTATTTTTAAGTTTAACTTAAATATATTGTACTGAGACTAAAACTTTGAGTATAAAATATTTAGAAACACCGTTGCAATAAATAAATGAAGATAAAAATGTAATATAGGTAGAATAATTGCAGCAACAATGAAACAAGTTGGCGACTCCGAGAGCCATCCTTTCAAAAGTTATGCAACAAAAAATAGAAGACTAACCACACCAATGTCTGTGTGTGAAATCCTCTTCAAGGACAACAAAAAATTATGTAAGATCTAATTCTAAGACATGCACATTGGTCTGGTGCAGCTGGACAACAACAAAAACCACAACTCCATGATACATTGGCTGGATACGGCCCAACAACAATCACAATCAATCAACAACAATCATGATTCAACATTGGTTTCTGACAATTCAACAACAACAGTTTTATCTTCAAGATACATTGGTTAGCCATAACTCAAGAAAAGCAACAACTATTGTTACATCTCCAAGATACATTGCTTACTCACATCAAGAACAACAATATCACAACAACAACAACACAACAACAGAAAACTTTCTTCAATACAAATGACGTCAGAGCGAGGAATAAATCACGAGCGGCTACATTATTAGAACAATCGTGAAGCCGATGTCACATGATTAATGAATTAAACTGTCAAAATGACAGCAGTAAGAATAATGAAACTAACAAATAAAATATCAAAAGTTACAAAAATGTTATATTAACAGAATTAATAGCAATAATAATTATAATACCATACAATATTATTAATATAAAGTAAAAAAAATGAACATTCAACAAAACCCCAAATGTTAGCTATATAACCAATTACCATATAAGAAGTCGCAAATTTTCAATTTTTATGATAGTTAAATTTGTTAATTATCCTTCTTAATCTTCCTCAAATAATTAAAAATTGTAATGAATAGCATGCATAGCTATCAATAAACCACAACAACCACCACAACAACAAACAAGCATCAACAACCACCACAGCAAACAAACCAGAGTCAACTTTGAGATTGATTAACATTACACAAAAATACAAAATTTCAAGCAAAATTTTATGAAATAGTAAAAAAATATCGGCAGAAATGCAAAAAAAAATTTCAAAAATCTCACCCGGAGTAGATGGTTGATAGAAGGATGAATGACATGATGAGTGTGAGGTTGTCAACGAGTGCGAGCGTCTGCAGGAGCATGGAGGCAGTTTTGTTCTGCCTGTCAAGTCGCAGAATGATCAGCGAGACCGTGTTGCCGATGACGCCTATCAAACATAGTGGGCCTATAACCCAGGCATTCACCACAAACCGAAAATTTAGACAGAAGTTTGAGAGGAGTTTTTCGTTGGTGCTGTTGTTGGTGATGGAAATGTCGGTGTCGTTGTTGAAGTTGCTTCTGTTGTTAAATGCTGTGGTGTAGTCGTTGATGATGTCGTTGTTGCTGATGACGTCATTGTTGTAGCTGTTGTTTAGGAGGTAGTTGACGTTTGTAGTCAGGCCGGTCTCAAGGTTCAATGAGTAAGTGTCTGACATCATCATGGTGGTGGTGCTGTTGTTTACGGGTTAATGATGATAAATATTATGGTCTTCTGGAAGATGAAGAAAATATTGACGATGATGAAGAAGATGAACGCAACAATGTTGGAAATGATTTCATTTCTTGGAACAACCCTGTAACCAGTTTTCTTTTAATACCATTGTTGACAAAAAATAATTTTTCATTAACTATTTTAACTCTAAATCAAAAATTTACAATTCAAAATAATCAACAAAAGTGTCTGTAAATAAAATTTAACTGTTCTTCGATAATAGCATCTCAAGTTTGTGTACATTATTTGTTTTCAATTATCGCCTGTTTTAACATTCACAACTGATTGTTGCTACTTGTTGAAAATGATGGATGAAACGTGCAGTTTGTTTATATCGGCGAACAGTACAAGCGCTTTCATTTAATGCCATATAGTCTTCACTGTAAATATCACTTAAATAAGTAGCTTATATGAATGCACGTATAATCTATATATTTACTATACTATATATATATGTGTGTGTGTGTGTGTGTGTGTGTGTGCGTGTATTTGTGTGTGTGTTTGTCTGTGTGTCTGCGTAAAAAGGATTAAAATAAACAAATTTAGCATATGACAACTTATCATGAAACATCATGGCAGGTAGCTAGTATGTGATGCACATGCAATATACATACAGTCATATATCAAACGACAAGTATGTAATGTTGCACGAGGGGAGACGAACTTGACGATGAAGTTAGCTTGTAGGCAGTCAATCAAATCATCGTTGTGTAAGCCAGCATGAGTTCGTTCAAACTCACCACATTCCTTAAAACATGGATGATAATTTGACGACGTTGTTTCACGTGACACGATACGTATATATCACGGCTTCTCAAAATGATGGTTTGTAGTTAGTTGACAAAAAACTTGAGGTTTTATTTCTGAAGGGTTCTAAAAAACCAAATTGTTCAAAATTATTCTGTTATTCTGAGATGTTGACAGACTCACAGCGTTAGTCTTCTGGCAGACGTTTTACAATGGTTGTTGAAATGAAACCAAACTGAAATGAATGGTTTTTAAATATTTTACAACGTGCCCACAGCCACCGTTAAAATTCCGATATGTATAATGGACAAATTTAAAATAAACTCTATTAAAAATCTATCATATCAAATATGTCTTGCTCGTCTTATCAAGTTGCTGAAGTGATTGTTCAAGAATATCAGGGATCTCATTTACAGTTCTTGACACGTCGAGATTTTTATTGCACCTTCTAGGATGGTCCTTGTTATGTCAGGCACAGCAGAGTTAAATACCAGTTCACAAAATCAAAATGTGTGAGAAGAACTGTTTTATGTTGTTCACATGCCTCATACACTGGAACGTGTGAGATCTAAACGTAGTAAATAATTAAAGTGGGATCTCCATATTACATCATCAATTATTATTCAAAATACGTAGAGTGACTTTGCAATTTGTTACACAATAAATATTTTCAAAGGGTCGTTTATAAAGTGAGCGCGCAAAATGAAAAACATCCCATCGGAGACTGGTTCGGAGTTCAATGTTCGCAGTTGTGTTGGATGGATGGATGGATGGATGGATGGATGGATGGATGGATGGATGGATGGATGGATGGATGGATGGATGGATGGATGGATGGATGGATGGATGGATGGATGGATGGATGGATGGATGGATGGATGGATGGATGGATGGATGGATGGATGGATGGATGGATGGATGGATGGATGGATGGATGGATGGATGGATGGATGGATGGATGGATGGATGGATGGATGGATGGATGGATGGATGGATGGATGGATGGAGTGCTTGTATGCGGTTTATGCGCGCAAGACTAGTTGTTTTTGTGTTTCTAACTCATTTCACGAACAAAGTTCAAATCGAAAACTTAAAACCAACTGCTGTTTGTTGTTAAATTGAATCACAAAGTTTTCAGCAGTGTTTAATTCGCCACTATCTATCCTGCTTCCCGTATTTAAATATTAATCAATCAATTTAGGACTCGGAGTCAGAATGCTTCTCAAATTGTCGGAGTTGGAAAATTTTTGTTGGAGCAGCACAAAATCCGACTCCGACATCTCCTTTTTCAAATGTTTATATATACATGTTTATGCATTTATTTATAAAAAGTTTATATTAATTTATAACATAACATTATTAGTGGGCTCAAACCAAAAAACTATATGCCCACATCTAATAAATAATACAAAAGTTAAAATAGTTAATGGCAAATTTCATTACGATGATTGTAAAAAAAGATTTTTCCACTCATGAATCTCTACGCTGCGTTCTCAATTTCTTTTACAGCTTCAGCTACAACAACAGCTGAGAGAAGGTTATTCCACTGACTGAAACACTATCTTTGTTATAAATTCTTGTTATAAAATTTTATATTTATTATTCTAAATAATAAATCATCTCCCGTTTAAACCTCGCGTGTACGTGTAGGCAGCGCAGCCCGATCATCTATTTCACTTCTTTGAAATGGTTCAGGTACAAAACATTTGCACTAAAAATCATCAAAAACATTTAAAATGCGTTTGATATTGTATACACACACACGCACACGTGTAGAGAAAGAAGAAAAACACTGACGTGAAGAGAAATGACGAAGAAAGAGAGAGAGAGAGAGAGAGAGGAGATAAAGAAAGGAATAGGTCGACATCCAAAGAGCAAAAATAGATACAATGATGAGTTTATGAATAAAAAATCCATAACAGGAAATTCGGAAAGAATGAGTGCAAAATAAAAAAAAAAATAATGATGCAACAATGACGTAACGATGACGTAATAATGACGTAATGATTATATAACGATGAATGTCAACGATGCAAAAGATGTTGCTGATGAGAATTGTGATGATTTAAGAGGACAATGATAATAATAATTTCAACATTTATGGTGAAGACGGTGTTGTTGTTGTCGATAATGATGATGAAGAGGAGAAAGAGGAGACGATGATGATGACGATGTTTTTGACTAATTGTAACCAACTCAGACATCATATCTCACTGTTTTTCATCGGCTCGCTTAACGTATTCATAACAAGTTGGAGTGAAAACAAGTGAAGTTTTAGTAGTTGCTTAGTTGTTGTTATGGCAGCTGCTTTCGTCGTTGGTTTTTGCTACGATATTTTATTGCTGTTGTTGATGTTGTTGTTGCTATTATTATTAGTAATATTGTTGTTGTTGTTACCATTATTATTATTATTGTGATTATTATTGTTGTTGTTGTTATTATTGTTGTTGTTGTTATTGTTTATGTTGAAAAAATAAATAATAAAATAAATAATCATTGTTTACAGCTTTTCAAACAATGATATCATTTAAAAAAAATTGTTTTTTATTATTTTTCAGAAATTTTGTTTATCCCTTTCATTCTTTCTTCTAATATTTTTTCAAGAATGTTATCCTACGAAGATCGCTGGGAAATTTAAATTTTCTTCTTTTAATTTTTCGAATATTATAGTTTTATTAAATTATTATTTATGACATAATTATTATTATTATTCTTATTATTATTATTGTTGTTGTTGTTGTTATTGATATTGTTATAATAATAATAATTATTTGTTATTATTATTATTATTAGTAGTAGTAGTAGTAGTAGTATTAGTATTAGTATTAGTAGTAGTAGTAGTAGTAGTAGTAGTAGTAGTAGTAGTAGTAGTAGTAGTAGTAGTAGTAGTAATAGTAGTAGTAGTAGTAGTAGTAGTAGTAGTAGTAACAGTAGTTTTAGTTGTAATTCTTATCGTTTTTAAGATTTTCAACATTTTCAGTAATATTGTTGTTGTTAATAAGGCTCGTCATCATCATCATCATAATGACATCATCATAATGACATCATCATCATC